CTTGTGGTTCAAACTGACCTTGTAGTCCAGTGCATTATGCCACAGTACCATACCAGGACTCCAATAAGAGAGTTGTTGTTGTTAACTGCCATTGAGTCAGTTCTGACCCAAAGTGATCCTGTATAGAGTTTCCAAGGAATTAGGTTTTACTATTTTTACTTAAAGGAGCGGCTGATGAGCTTGAACCACTAACCTTGCAGATCAAACTGACTTTGCAGTCCAGCACCTTAACCCACAACAGGAGCAGGTTTATAGGAGTCAGTGGCTCAGAGAGCTGGCTGATCCTAGCTGGGCTTACTGGAGCGTCTTATCTACCTAAGTGTCTTCATGTGCCACATTGGCTGAGTTACACAGTAAACTGTGTCTAACAACAGCCATTTGTCCATGGGATTTGAGCCATTCATACACTTTGCAAATATCAAGTGTCTACTGTCCAGAGTGATATATTCAAGGTCATATTTTGGCTCTCATGGACTTGTTTTCATTTTCTTCAGCTTCAGTCTAAATTTGCATATGAGCAATTGATGATCTGTTAGAGATCATCTGAAGAACAGATTTGATACATTAGACACTAAAGACAGAAGACCAGAAAGATTGTGGGATGACATCAAGAACATCATGCAGGAAGAAAACAAAAAGTCATTAAGACGACAAGAAAGAAGGAAAAGATCAAAATGGATGTCAGAAGAGACACTGAAACTTGCTCTCCAGCGTAGAGATGCTAAAGCAAATGGAAGAAATGAGGCGGTACAAGAGCTGGACAGAAAATTTCAAAGATCAGCTCAAGAAGACAAAGTCAAATATTAGAATGAAATGTGCAAAGATCTGGAGTCAGAAAACCAAAAGGGAAGAACACGCTCAGCATTCCTCAAGCTGGTAGAACTGAAGAAAAAATTTAAGCCTTGACTTTCATTATTGAAAGATTCTCTGGGCAAATTATTGAATAATGCAGAAAGCATCAAAAGATGGAAGGAATATACAGAGTCACTATACCAACAGGAAATGGTTGATGTTCAGCCGTTTCAAGAGGTAGCATATGATCAAGAGCCAATGATACTGAGGGAAGAAGTCCAAGGTGCATTGAAGGGATTGGCAAAGGACAAGGTACCAGGAATTGATGGAATAAAAATTGAAATCTTTCAAGAAAGTGAGGTAGCACTAGAGGTACTCACTCATCTATGCCAACAAATTTGGAAGACATTTTCTTCTTGGCCTACTGATTGAAAGAAAGAGAGATGACCCAATGGAATACAGAAATCATCAGACAATATCTTTGATATCCCATGTGAGTAAAGTTTTATTAAAGGTAGTACAGAAATGGCTGCAAGCATACACTGACAGAGAACTTCCAGAGGTTCAAGCAGGATTCAGAAGAGGACATAGAGCGAGGACTATCACTGATGTCCAATGGATCTTGGCTAAAAGTAGAAAATACCAGAAAGATGTTTACCTTTGCTTTATTGACTATGCAAAGGCTTTTGATTGTGACAAGCTATGGACAACATTTCAAAGTGTAAGTATTCAGGAACACTTAATTGTGCTCATGAGGAACATGTACATGGACCAAGAGGCAGTTGTTCAAACAAAAGGGAACACTGAATTGCTTAAAATTAAGAAAGGTATGCAACAGGGTTGTATTCTTTCACCATACTTATTCAACCTGTATGCTGAGCAAATAATCAGAGAAGCTGGGTTATATGAAGAAAAACATGGCATCAGGATTAGAGGAAGACTCACTAACAACCTGTGATATGCAGATGATACAACCTTGCTTGCTGAAAGTGAAGACTTAAAATACTTAACTGATGAAGATCAAAGACCACAGCCTTCAATAAGGGTTGCATCTCAATGTAAAGAAAAAAAAATCCTCACCACTGGACCAATAAACAACATTCTTATTAACGGAAAAAAGACTGAAGTTGTTAAGGACTTCATCCTTCTTGGATCAACTATTAACACCCATGGAAGCAGCAGGCAAGAAATCAAACAACGTATTGCATCAGCCAAATCTGCTGCACAAGACCTTTTTAAAGTGTTGAAGAGCAAAGATGTCAGCTTGAGGACTAAGGTGCACCTGACCCAAGCCATGGTATTTTCAATAACCTCATGTGCATGTGAAAACTGGATAGTGTATAAGGAAGAATGTAGAAGAATTGACACAATTGAGTTATGGTGATGGAGAATACTGACAGTGCCATGGACTGCCAAAAGAACCAACAGATCTGTGTTGGAAGAAGTGCAACCAGAGTGCTCCTTGGAGGCCAGGATGGCCAAACTTCGTCTCTCATACTTCAGACATATTGTCAGAAGGGACCAGTTGCTGGAGAAGGATATCATGTTTGGTAAGGTGGAGGGTCAGAAAAAAGGAGGAAGCCCCCCAGCGAGATGGCTTGGCAAAGTGGCAGCATCAATGGGCTCAGGCGTGGCAATGATTGTGAGGTTGGCCCAGGACCAGGCAGTGTTTCGTTCCATTGTACATAGGGTCTCTATGAGTTGGTACCAAATCGATGGTACCTAACAACTGTCCAAAGCCCTGGTGTGGCTCTGTAGGATAAACACTGGACTGCTAACCACAAGGTCAGATATTCAAATCCACCATCCACGCCTTATTATCAATGAAAATTGTAGTCAGGACAGGAAAAATGGTTCCTTGATGTCAAAACAATATTTAACTTTGGAGCACCTCCTTAATATGATTTCAAAAAAACAACAAACGTAAAGGACGAGTAGACCAGCCTGGAGCAGCTATAAGAACAGAAGATATTTTGTGAAGAAAGACCAGCAGGAAAAATCTGAAACAATAACGGCAGTCTTATTACTACAAGAACAAGTAAGCTGTTCACCCGGGAGTCATCAAGGCAAGTGGTTGGGTCCCCTCAGAGAAAACTCCCTTCCAAGACTGGGACTCAAGGGAAATACAAGATCAGGCATGTTGTCTGGCAGGTAACCATGTTGGTCACCAATAACGGGAAGAGGGGGAAAAAACAGTAAAGAAGTTGGGATTTGAGTCCGACCACATTCAATAGACTCCTGTGAACCCGGGTGGAGACTTGGATGGCCAGCTGTATAGCAAGATCCAGCAGTACAGCAAGATTCCTGGGCCCAGAGGCAGTGATATGGCCACAGAGGACTAGAGCAGAGAGTGAAGCATCCAGCTGATATG